CCTCGCATGACCAGCGGGATGACCGCGTCGCGCTCCTTCTCCGTCATCTTGGTGCTGACCGCCAGGAGCATCAGCATGTTGTCGCAATCGGTGACTCCCATGGCATACAAGTCGCTCAGCACATTGGCGCAGGCGATTTTGCCCATCATGTAGGGATCTTCGACAATGGGGTAGAAGAAATCGGTGGTCTGCACCAGGCAGAGGCCGCCGTGCCGCAGCGGAATGACGGAGCAGTCCAGACCGATGCCGATCCGGGGGATGGCCACGTTGGGGAACTGCGGCTCCTGGTCCTGGGCGGAGTAGTCCTGCTGCAGGGCGGCCACCAGCTTGGAGAGCACATCCTGCGGCACCTTGCAGCCGCGACCCTTGAGGTCGGCGAACCGGGTGAGCCGGAACGAGGCGTCCAAACCGTGGGCCGTGGGATCGAAGGGACGACGCAGCTCGGCGTCGCCACCGCCATGCAGCTCCAAGTGGGCCGAGTTCAGGACATCAGCGGCGTAGCTCATCTTGCTTTACGGTTTTGCTTGTGCGTAGGTACAACGAGAATTGTATGGGGAAATTTTTTTTATTTTGCGCCTGGTTTTGCTTTTCCAACGAACGAGATGTCACAACAGGGTTGCATTCACGCGTGCGGGCGATTCCTTTACGATAAATGACAAAAAAATAAAATGCCAATCGATTGCAAATTTAATAACGAGTTCAGGAAGGTATGACAATCCTAATTGGGATCTAATTTCCATTGTTTCGCTCAAAAAACGAATTATTTTTATTCTTTTTTTTTCGTGGAAAATTGGGATCTGGGTTTTTGGTAAAAATGTGAATTTTTCATTTTAGTTTTTTTGCTGTAACTTGGCCAAAAATGGTCCTACACCAAAAATACAAACTGTTTTGAACAGATAACAATACAAGAAATAAATCCATGACACTTTCCCTGTGATTTTGGAAAAATAAAATTTTCGCCAATTTTCTCATTTTTTTATAAAGGGGGGTACATCATGATTTTTTACGAAAAATGACAAAAAAATTAAATGCCCAGGTTTTAATGCCAATCGATTTCAAATTTAATAACGATTTTAGGAAGGTACGACAATCCATATTTGGATCTAGATTTCCATTGTTTCGGTCAAAAAACGAATTATTTTTAATCTTTTATTTTGTGGAAAATTGGGATGACAAATCGCCGTTCAACAAAGTTTCAAATGACAGGCAAAGTCGTATTTTCTCACTGTGTGGCACTTCCGTTGGCGAGTATTGTTAACCGCTTCTAAGCGCATCAATTATGCCGGCAGGCTCCTTACAAACTTATTGGCCTATAAACTAATCGCATAATTGCACAAAAGTAATTATCCTTGGGCTGAGCCTCGGCTAGCTCATTGTGCTAGCAGCAACTATGCGGCATATCCTATATCCTGCATCCTTAGACCTCAGTACTTGGTACTTATCCCTTATCCCCTATCCCCTGGCGCTCTGATTTTTCCACCTTGCTGGCCAACTATGCGGCTCATCCGCTCCGCTGAACGCCGCCAGAAGGAAGTGCCGTGCAGGACTCAAATCGCAGGACGCAGAATGTAGAATGCAGAGTGCAGAATGCCGAGTGCCGAGTGCCAGAATGCAGGACTCAAAACGCTGGCTAAACAGTTGGAAAAACACGGCAGGCCGAACAACAAAAACAAAAACAAAAACAAACACAAGGACAGGCCTTTGTTTGCGAAAAGCGAATGAGAGGTGAAATTAAAATCAAGCTGTTGATAGCAATCACACACTCGAGGCAGCCCAAAATGGGTAAGTGCACAGGGAGAAATTTGTGGAAACAAGAAACTATTAGTGAAAATACTTAATTAAGAATCTAACAAGTTTTATTTGTTGATCATCACAGAGAAAAAACCATTACAACTAGTTTAAAATAACTTTAATGTTTTTTTTTTTTTAACAAGAATAATAGAAAATATTTTTTACATTTACAAAAAACATTATTGCATCACAACTATTAAACAATAATTAAAATAATATTATTATATCTGAATAATATTTAATTTTGATACATATAAATTTTTAATAATTGTTTTTTCTAAATTTTTGCATTTAAAAAGGTAAATATTGTGTGTTAAATTATATAAAAAATATTAAATCGAAATTAAGTAAATTAATTAGGATTTAGATTTAGATCCAATATTCGATTGCCCAATTTCTCTCAGTGCCCATGTCCTGGCTGTCCTTTGTGCAATTCCGATGGCGATGGCCAGAGAGTGGGATGCATGCATCACTAGCCGTCACATGGCCAACTGCTTGGGCTTCCGGCTTTCGGTTACCAGAATCGGCGAATCTGCGACTGTCATTCATCATTCTTTTTTTTACTGGATGCTCGCCATTTCTTCAGCTCCCGAATCTACGAATCTCCTCGGCATCTGGATCTCGTGAAACAAGGCAAGTAAAGCGGTAAGGAAAGTAAAGTAGTTAGGGTTGACATCCTCAAGTGGCCCAGTGGCTTTGTTCGGCGCTCTTCGTTTGTCGAGCGTGCAGTAATTAAGTTGAAGTTGCTCAGCGGATTCAGCAGATAAACATCAGTATCGGGATCGAGGATAATCCCCAGGGATAATCGAAAGGACATGGTACCCCTCGTTCCTTTGTGCCTTCAGCTTTCAACATCAATCGGGGCAATTGGATTGACATTTTCAGATCGCAGGATCAGGATCATTTAAGGGATTGAGATCCCGTGGTAATTGCTTTCATAAGGAATCTTTTAATTAAATGAAAATGATCTTTGCAATTATAGAAAGCCATTATAAAAACATTAAAATGTATTTAATTTTTTTATTGCTAAGGAACAAATTATTACAAATTAATAATGTAAAAGTATAAGTGGATCCTAATGGATTCCTAAATTAATCCTATAGCGAACTCAAGCCCCAGTTTGTACATATGAGAAATCCAAAGCTCTTGCACTTAAACGATAAAGATAATCATCGACTTTTCTCCTCTAAGCCTCTAAGCCACTCATTAAAACTATCTCATGAAGCTCGGCCATTATTGATCGATATTGGCTCCGCAGAACGGTAAAGATCGGCAATGAAGATCACTCTATTCTCTCCCCTTTCTTCCCCCAACTCTCCAATTCTCCACTCTCCGCTTTTGCGGCCAATTAGCTGCTGCCACAAAATGAAATCATTTCTCACAGCTATTGTTGGCCGGGCAAAAGTAATTAATTGCCAGTGGATTCGGATTCGGTGCGATGGGGAGAGGTATTTCCATTTCCATTTCCTCGGCCCCCGGTTGAGTGATTCTCCAAGCGGACAGCCAATCGAAGCGAGAGGAGAGTCGCTTCTTCTGGCAAGAAAGAAGACTGAAGAATCGGACGGAAGACTGAGCCCCGAAGACTGCGACTGCGACTGCAACCGAGAGAAGCGCATACTTTCCAAGGCAATTATCGAATGCCAGCGTGTCAGCCTCGATTCCCGACTCCCGATTCTTCGGTACCCGGTACCCCGTTTCTTCCGATTCTTCCCCACCCTCCCCCAGCAGATTCTACCGCTCCAGAGTCGCCAGGGCGTCGCCGGTTGGGAGAAGCGGGACTTTCGGCCCCGTCTGCAGTTCCAGCTTTCAGTTTTCCCTGACGCCAACAACGCCTCATCGTGTTTGTTTGGCCGCCAGAGCCGTCAGAGCCGCCACCGCCGCGACGCCACCACCACTGGCAACTGGCAGCACCACCACTGGCACCACTTGCACCACCACCGGCACCACTACCACCACACGTCGCCGCCGCTTCGATTGACAGTGATGAACATTTGGCCTTTTTCTGGATGGAGATCTCAACTACATTTGGAATTTACATAGTTTTTAAAATTATATATAAGAGGAAAAAAATATTTAAAACAGTAAAAACAATTAACTTATACCTATGTGGTAATCTCCCATTTGGCATTTACATTAGATTAAAATAAAAACAGAAAATCGACTGCTTGCACTGCTTGAATTTCATTATTTGCTCATAACTTTTTAAGTATTGGTCCGATTTATTTAATTTTTCCTGCATTTCGAATTTGCAACAAATTAAGCTCTAGGTACATAAATAATACAAAATTTAAAATATTATTTTTACATTCCGGTTCATATCCGTATTAGCATTCAAAAGTTTTAAAGAAGTTTTAAGCAAACTCGAGGTCATGACGACTTTTTTTGTATTTTTATATTTATTTCTATATCCTTATTTTAACTAAATAAACCCATAAACTAAAGGCTGCTTAAAGTTTTTTGTGAATTTTAAGGATGTCCTTGTTTTCCAGGTGCATCCTGGTCATCTCTGGCTGGCTAAATGGCTAAGTGGATCTACGCAACTGCAGCTCTTTCGTTGCCCCAAATTGGCCTTGAGGCAATGATTGGCTGCCGCTGCTGCCCAGATGCCAGCACCACCCCTTGGCCCCCTTGACCCCCCTTTAAGCCCCCCTTTAGACCCCCACCCCCTCGTTGCGATGCGTTTCTTTCGCACTGATCTCAGCTGTCGTCGCTTGTTAGTGCGCACGCGTGTCTTTCTCCCTCTAAAAAGCAGACAGCCAGTGTGTTCCCCTCTCTTTCGCACCCAGAAAGGGGGGTGAGGGGGTCAGTCTGTCGCCCTCTCGCTCGCACCCGCATGGGGTTCGTGAGGCGTTGATGGCGATGGCGCTGAAGCTGGCGCGCATGCGCAACGCAACCACAAAATCGCAATTGCCGGGGCCAAAAACCAAAAAAGAGAGGAAAAAGGCCGGGAAAAATAAAGTTGAGCTGGCACAACGTTGTAAGACATAGTTTGTTGCCAGTAACCCCCTTTTCCCTCCTCCTCCTCCGCCCCTGTGCTTGTGTGTGCGGGACCTCCCGCAGATAATTGCCCATCATCTCATCAAGTTCCGCCCAGCTATTTAACAACCGTCGAGGAGCAGGAGCTCCAGGAGGAGGATCGGGAGGAGGGAGGTGGGTAGCGGGAAGCGGGGGCCTCGAGAGCAATGAAACCCACAAAACAAGACACCAAAATGATGAACGCGACCACGCAAAGTAGAAGTAGCTGCCCGATCTGGGAGTCTGGCTTTGGCTCCGTCTCTGGCTCCAGACTATACGATCTCGAGCCCTCGCAGCCGAGGGAGGATCCAAGAGTTTTACCACGTACTATATCTAAAATCGGAAAATTATCCTGGAAACCCTAAACAAAAGTCATTAAAAATATATAAATAATTAAATTTGTAACTTTGTAATATTAATATTAATCTTGTAGTTTAAGATTCCTGAATGAACTATTGATTAAATATTAGATTTGATATTTATATACTTAAATCCAATTTAATTAAAAACAAAATAATCATAAAGTTATAATTAATTAAACTACGATCATAAATGATCAACAGTATTAATTTTTATGAATGTAATAATACGACAAATTCCAAATATATCTTTGTAATTTTTAGGATGTTTCTCATATTATGATGGTTTTTTAAATGGATTTATTATATACTTTAAGCCATCGTAGTTCCAACTTCCAAGAAACAACACAATATAATATATACAAATATGTAAAGCTCATCAGTTATAAACTATTTCTTACATTTAGATAATTTTTTTGAAATTTATGTCATTTGTTTTTTGAAAGTTAAAACAAAGCTACAACTCTTTTTAAGAATCAATAGTATAGTATCCGGGAACTTCTCGAGCTGCCTTGGGCTGGCGCCACCAACATTCAGCGGCAGCTTGGGGCGGCGGCTGCAGATCGGCTCCAAATCGCACAGGTCCAGGTTGCAGCTCCACTCCAAGCAACCACCAACAAGCAACCACCAACCACCAACCACAGGCATCAATAGCACCACCGACGACGAAAGCAGACGGAGAGGACCAAGACCAAGACGAGGACCCAGTAGATCCAAGCACGTTAATCGAGTCTTATCGATTTTGGCATGGTTCGTGTCTCGGACGTTTTGCCCAACAACCGCCTTGCAACCCCCTTCCAACCCCCAGCGCCTCCACCCCAAAAAAGGGGAGGAACCGATCCCATCAGCGGACTCGTAACTAAATTGAATCCAATTGCAGACGAGTCGGGCCAAATAACTGTGAGACATAATGAATGAGTGTTGGCCAAATTGCAACTTGGCCTGCCAGCCGGCCAGTTAAGGGTTAATGGGTGGCCCCGTCCACCAGGGGCTTAAGGGGGTGGCGCTCTGTGGAGAGGAAGATTCCTCTTCCACTTTGCCGGCAGTGCCACTAATATCTCAATTGGCCAGCGGAAGGTTCAATAAACTGGCCACCCACCTGGGGCATCTGCACCTGTCCGCGATGTTGCTCCTCCTCGTCCTCCTCTTCCTTTTTCTTCGATCCTCCTTCTTCTCCGCCTGTTTCTGCATACAAAAAACAACTATTAATATTTTTACAGAATAAACAAGCAGAGTAAAACAATTAAATGATTCATTTTTTGAAAAGATATATATTTTTTTAATATTATTATTATTATTAACCATATATTATAATGCCTATACATTTTCGGATGGTTGTTTAGAGATTAAACCGCCAGCTAAAAATGCCAATTGGTTGAAAACTTAAAGAAATAAAATTATATATTTATACTTAATTATAAAAATGTAGGTATATTTTCAATAAAAATAAATATTAGTAGTAATATATAACTAAAAACAAAGTAATTACATTTAAGTAGTAAAAGTAATAAAATTATTCTAAAATTTGAAATGATTGAACTGAAAAATACCGTAGCGTTAAGAGTTTTTAAAATAAAAAAAATATATATTTAAAAGTAATAAATACAAAATTGAAAATTCAGCAAGAAAATACATTCTGTTTCCCAGTGTTTTAAGAGCATTTATGCTGGAATAAAATCAACCTATTTCTGTGAGTGCATCCTGTGTGTTGCTGCTCCACTTTTCGCAGCTGACAAGACAAAGAGGCCCAAGGCATTGGCTACTAGCCCGAAAAACTTCTAATTGAAGGCAAACATGTGCTGGCCGCTGGCCGAAAAGAGAGATCCAATGGTCCAGTGGTTCAGTGTTCCAGGATGCTGGATGCGAGGATGCCAGGATGCTGTCCAAAGGGACCTCGAGGGCAGCGCCACCTGGCGGGCGCTCCTCCTTGCTGTGCATATTGTATTCCCCATTAGGTGAGGTGGGCGCCTGTCCAACTTTCAGCCATGTCATGTTTGTCATGTTGCTGTGTTGCTCCACCTTTTCCCTCCCTGATCCTTCATCCTTCATCCGGCATCCTGCATCCTTTTTTCCCTCGTCCTGTTGTGGAGTCTTCCACTTGATTTTCACTGCTGCTGTTTGCCGCCCCCCTCAAAATTCTGTGTCGCTGCCTAATGGGCGCACTTGTCCGAATTGTGAGGGGGTTGGTGCTCCAAAGGGGGGAGTAGGTGACATCTTGTGCTTCTTCTTCGTGGAGCAGCACTTGACCTGGTTCTTTTTTTTATTTTTTTTTTTCGACTACGATGATGCTGCAGCATCAGCTTGTCGTGGAGCTTTGGAGCTACGTGTGGCACAAAGCTAATTGCCTGCCTGCCTGTGGAATATTTATCCCTGCCCCTGTACCAACCACTCAAGCACTTGAACCACCAACCCCTACTAACCCCCTGAAAGCACCACCCACTACGGAGTGCACCTGATTGTGTCACACATTCGAGCCGAGGCTCTCGAAATATTTTCCACTTCGTTTGCCATAAACTTCTCAACTAACAAAGATAAGAATGTCTGCTGTTTTTCAATTCCCAGTAAAAGTTATCTGAAAGAAAGACCCTTTATTCAGTCAGGTCTTTTGAATGTAATTTTATATTTGTCTTTCATTCTGAATATATTAATAAAATATATAATAATATTTAACAAAAGGCAACCAAAACATTGAAAACCCCATTATTTCCACAGTTTTAAAGGCACTGATCAAGACTTGATCTCGTGAGAAATCCACCAATAGTTCAGCCAGCTCTGGACCACTCACAATAATAATAATAATAATGATAATAATAATCGCGCTGCTTGAAAAATATAATAAATTGCCAAAATGCGCAGGAGGCGCGGGGCCTTCACAAAAATAAAATGTGGCATAATGAAAACAAGAAATATGCCGACAGTTTTTGTTCCCTTCTTCTTGTCGTTGGGAAGGTATGGAGGGTATGGCATGGAGACCCCAAGCGAAGGATCCCAGGGACCACCGCCTAGGTTTTTGGACACAAACCGCCCACCCGCCCCTGTTCATAATGCGGCTGTGGCGGCTTTTTGATTTACTGACGTGCCTGTGCGACCACACAGAACTAAAAAGTTATAAAATATTTATGTAGGATTTTTGTATAAAATAAAAAGGGGAATATTATTGGTGATATATTATACAGTTTTTATTGTACTGTATTGGAAAGCTTATTTATTTAGAGGTTCAATTTCAAAAGAGATTATTTTAAGTGGTATTGAAACCATTTTTGTGACCTCTGCATTTCCAATCGTATTTATAATGCTTGTATAAGCTATACCATTTTATACCATTTAGATGTGGATATCTAGATTAGCTTCAGATTTTGACTTTTATTTCGATTATTCAATGCTAAATAAATTTCATAAATTTAATTTGAATTTTAGTTATTATTTTATGCATACAGATAGCTTGATTATCAAGGAAGACCCCCCTTTTTTCGCAGTGCTCTCAAACAAAATGAGGATGAAGGCGGCAAGTGCCGCCACCGCCACTGCCACACACACAATAATAGCCGAGATATATGTGGTACAAGTAAATATATCCCCACTGGCATGAAGGATGACGCCAATTGGCCTGCGTTGCTTAGCGCCAACGAAAGGCGCTGCGGCCAACACACAGAGCCAGAAGCAGAAGCAGAGAGAGACGGCATGTGCGGCTGCGAAAGAGACGGGGCGACACATTGGGAAGGAACAAGGAATTTTTCCTCCTTTCCTCCTTTTTTTTCATTTTTTTTTTAGCTTGGCCAGAAGCTTGGTGGCGCCTCAAGTAGCCGGGTATGAAAATAAAAAAAAAAACACACACAGAACGGCCAAAAGGACTGTGGAGCGCATAACTTCACTGAGGCGGCGGCATCGGCTTCTGATCAAACGTTTATAAGCAAAAGCAACGTCTTCAATGCCCAGCAACAACATTGGTACAACATCTGCAACAGCAACAACAATAGCAACAACAACAGCAGCAACATCCAGCCTGTTCCAGAGCTTTAAGACAAAATCGCGTTGGCAGCCAGCAAGCTACACAAAAAAAGAGGGGGAGATTTTAAAAGGGGGGTTCTCAAGAGATGGTTTTTAAGAGGGGTTTCCAGGTGGAGTTTAGTTAGGTGGTTTTTCACACGGCAAGAAAATGTAATACCATAAGAAGGTCAATTTGATATTATAGCAGACGATCTGGTAAATAGAATTGTAAAATGTTTACCATAGGAGGTTTCTAAAAGAAATTTGTGTTAAGAGGTTTTAGTAATAATATTTTGAAGTGTGACTTTTATTTTCTTTTTGGTTTTCAAAATTAAAACTTATTAAATTTCCCAATATATTTAGTTAGTTCTTGGGGTGTTTTTAGGCCCTTTCTTAAAGGGCGGCCAACTCAAAAGTCTTGGACCATCCTTGAGTCGTGTTCTTTTCATGTCCTTTTGTATTTAAGTGTGCACTCGTTCGATTTTGTTGTTGTTGCTGTGGTGTTGTTGTTTTTTTTTTTTTTTTTGGATTGGATCGTCTTTATTTTGAGACAACGACGCCGGCCGAAGATTCCCCCTCCTCCGGGTTTTTTGGAACCCCTTCCCTTCCTCTTCCTCTGCGTCCAGCGACATCTTCGGCAAAGTTATTCAAGTGGCGCCAGTCAAACATTTTTTTGTGCAACAACTACAACAGCAACAAAATGCAGCAAGTTAGCCACAGCAACAACAACAACAACAAGAGCAGCAGCAATAAATACAACAACTTTTGGGCCTTCAAGACAACAATGAATGGCGCTCCACACACACACACACACACTCGCGCACTCGATGGAAAAGGGAGCAAGAAAAATAAGGAGACTAAACCATTGACCAGCGACTAGTGCCTCTCAAACTGTATGATATTTAAATAAAAAAAATTAGACTTCTCGCTATAAGCTAATCTAAGAGAATTTTTCACTTTTGTTTTTTTGCTGTAACTTGGCCAAAAATGGTCCTACACCAAAAATACATACTGTTTTGAACAGATAACAAAATAAATCCATGACACTTTCCGTGTGATTGTGGAACAATAAAATTTTCGCCAATTTTTTAATTTTTTTACAAGGGGGTACACCATAATTTTTTGCAAAAAATTGACAAAAATTAAAATTCTCAGGTTTGAATGCCATTCGATTGGAAATCTAATAACGAGTTCAGAAAGGTATGACAATCCTTATTTGGATCAATACTTCCACTGCTTCTGCCAAAAAACGAATTATTTTTAGTGTAAAATTGGGATCTGGGTTTTTGTTAAAAAAAATAATTATTCCTTTTTTGCTGTAACTTAAATACAAATAAATCTATTTTATGTTAAACATTTTACTAGTTTTGCTGTCATAACAAAACTTACACATATGTTCAAAACAATTTACTTTATTTAACTTTTAAAAACTTTAAAGTTCTTGATTACGGCTTACCCTAATTCTGTTTACATATAATCAAAGAATGTGTTGAGTAGATTTTTATTCAGAGGAGTTGCTACATTGCTGTTGGGTGTTTCTGTGCAAATTAAATTTCCCAACTGACAGTTTGAGGGGTTGTGTTTTTGGGTGCTTCGGTTTTTGGTTTTCGGGGGTGAAAAGTCATCGACAGATTAGCCGACAATTTGGTGTCACTTTGCCCGAGGACTTTTGAGGATGCGAAGGACGAAGGACGAGGGACGCTGCCGTTGACATCGAGATGTCCTTGTCGTCTGCATCGGATGTTTCAATTCGCAAGTTGCGCTTCCTTCCGATCACGTGGCCAAAACGCCAGCGGCGGCCGTTCACTTCCGCCCGGCCGATAGCTTCCGTCCGCTCCCAACAACAACAATCGCAGAAGGAGATGGAAAGTCGAAGTCGGACTCGGACTCGGATTCGGAAGCCAATTCCCCAGTCATCCTTTCCACCATCC